ATATATATATATTCATATATATATATATATTCATATATATATATATGAATATATATATATATATATTCATATATATAATATATATATCAATTCTGCACGAGAAGTGTAATATACATCAATAAATAATGAATACATAAATATATATATATATATGTATATATTTTTGATTATTATATTCATATATTTTATTTATTTATTATGTAATTATTATTATTATTATTATTATTATCCATAGAAACCTCTCAGTAGTTTATGTATGCGTTGGGGTGTCTCGGCACCTCCCGGGTTGGTGGTAATGAATACAGTTAAAAGTTTTTTGAAATAAACATTTCTAATTAAATTAAAGTGTTAATTAATTTATATTTTAATATATTTCAAACAAAGCTTTATCTTTTATTGCTCTTTTCTTGGTTTGCGTTTAGCTGCTGTTGTCTGAGGTGTCTGTACACCTGATCTTCTGCATGCATTTCTTAGTTTTTTATTGTTTTATACTGGTTTTTTAATGCATTTTTATTTGTTGTATTTAATTATTAACGCTTTTTAATTTGTTTTACACCAAACATCTTTAATTTTACTGCAATTTCCCTCTATACTTTGCTGGGGCTGGCTGCCCTTTAAGGTATGCAGCAAACTCTATACCCATATACACCGCAGCTAATCAGAAATGTTTCTATACTTTGTTTGTTTGCAGATCTGAAGCCTTCATTGCATTGCTGCTGCGACAGAGATCCCCTGAACCTCCAGGTGTATGTACACCTGAAGCCTACCACACACTCAATCTCCTACCTCTGTTGCTGCTTCCGTTTATAGAGACAGCAGCCAGCAGCAACCTAGCTATCTGCTGCTGTTGCTGCTGTTGCTGCTCCCTTATGCTGTTAGGCTATCTGCATGCAGCGGGTTGCTGTACGTACACCCGAAGAACAGACACCGCAAGTAGAGCTGCTCTTCAGCCTGTTGCTGAGATACATATTTGCTGCGCGAGCTGTACATACACCGCAAAGAGCAGCAGAAAAAAGCAAGAAGAAAACAGAGAATTAAATCTTAAAATATCTTCTTTCTGCTGCTCTATAGAGGGCCCCGTACAGCAGCAGCTCAGCAGTGGGCAGCAGGGGGGTTTGCTGCTTTTTATATTTCTCTTAATTATCTAATGCATGCATGCATGCATGCATGCAGCAGCAAAGCCCCAAGGTACAGCGCCCCTCCTGGGGCTGAGCGCTGACAGCAAACTGCAGCAATGCAAGCAAGCAGCAGCAACAACTGTCTTTTTATCTCTATAAACGCGCAGCAGCAGCAAAACAAACAAAAACAAATTAATTAGTGAATGCAGCTGTTCTGCAGCAACATTCTTAATTAACTCCCGGTGGTCCCCCTGTTCGGTCGTTGCTGCTGGCGCTAGCTAGCTAGCTAGCTAGCTAGTTAGCTAGCTCGACAAGCAACTAGCCAACTAGCTACACATGCACGCACCTAGCTGCATACGTTCCCTAGCTAGCTAGCTAGCTAGCTAGCTGTCTAGCTAGGTAGCTACGCACTCAGCTAGCTAAAGGGATAGGTAGACAGATACAGAGCTGGCGAATTAGCTAGCTAGCCAGCTAGCCAGGTTCCCCCCTGCGGTGTGGGGCTCGGGTATGCTGCTGCTGCAGCGCCGCAGCAGCAGATATATATTGTAGATGCTGAGAGCAGCGTAGGGAGACACAGGAAGGAGAGACAGACGAAGAGACAAACAAGCAGCAAAAGATTTTTTTAACAATTATTTTATTTACTGTGCGCACCGCTGAGGCCTGAAGAGAGACACACGAGAATGGAGCAGCAGCAGCAGCAGCAGCAGCAGCAGGAGACACCTTCCTCGCTGCAGCAGCAGCAACAGCAGCCGCAGCAGCAGCAGCAGCAGCAGCCGCAGCAGCAGCAGCAGCAGCAGCCACAAGAAGAGGATGCTTCGGTTGAACTCCCACCGTCAGAACAAAGCGCTGCAGCAGCATCACCGCAGGAGACCCCCGCAGCAGCAGCAGCAACAGCAGCAGCTGCTGCTGCAACAGCAGCAACAACAGAAACAGAAACCGCAGCTGCAACTGCGCCTACAGAACCAGCTGCGGCAACAGAAGCAAGTGCAGCAGCAGCAGCAGCATCGGCAGCAACAGCAGCAACACCACCAGAAGCAGTAACCGATACAACGCCAGCATCAGCAGCAGCAGAAGCACCAACAGCAACAACAGAAGCAGCAGCAGCAGCAGCAGAACCAACAGCACCCGCAGCAGCAACAACAGCAGCAGCAGCACAGGCAGAACCAACAGCAGCACAGGCAGAACCAACAGCAGCACCAGCAGCAACAGCAGCAGCAACAGCACCGGGAGGACCAGAAGCAGCAGCAACAGCAGCAACAGCAGCACCAGATTTGCTGCTGGAAGCAAAAAGCCTGCCCCCTACAATCGAAGAGCAAGTGGACAGCCTCTTAGATTCTCTTTGTGAGAAGGGTTCCTTGAGCGTCAATCAGTGAGCAGCAGCAGCAGCAGCAGCAGCAACAGCAGCAGCACCAACAGAAGCACCAACAGCATCAGCAGCAGCAGATGCCCCTGGTAGCCAACCAGCAGGTGGTGTCCACAGCAATCTCAGCAAGAGCAGCAGCAGCAGCAGCAGCAGCAGCAGCAGCAGCAGCAGCAGCAGCAGCAGGGGTATACGGGTATGTTTGTTCAGGAGTTTGCTGTTTAAGCAGCGTTTCTTCAAGCTTCACGAGCGATATTTGCATGCAACAAAGACAGAGGCGTTTGCAGCAGCAAAACTAAATCGGCTGTCTATCAGCCTGAGACAGCAGCAAGAAGAATTAGCAGAAGCAGCAGCAAGAGCTGACATACACGCGCAGCAAATTATCTCCCTTAAACAAGAACTCTCAGAGGTCCTTCTCTGTCATATATTTACAGGGTTTAGGGTTTAGGGTTTAGGGTTTATGTCCTGGTCGTTTTTGTCGTTTTGTTTTGCTGAGCTTTCTGTTTAATTGTCGTTTTGCATATCTCTTCTTCTGTCTCTTCTTTTTTGTTCTTATATATATATATATATGTAGATAAAAGTTTATATATATATAGATAAATATATATATATATATTATCTGTCCCTGTCTCCTTCTGTCTCCTTCTGTCTTTATCTGTCTCTTTATTTGTTTCTTTCTCTTTCCTGCTTTCTTCTTCTGTCTCCTGCTGTCTCCTTTTATCTCGTTTGTCTCCTTCTGTCTTCTTTTATCTCCTTTTAAATCTGGTTGTCTCTGTTTGTCTCTGTTTGTCTCCTTTTAAATATCTCTGTCTCTGTCTGTCTCCTTTTAAATATATTTGTCTCCTCTTAAATATCTCTGTCTCTGTTTGCCTCTGTTTGTCTCCTCTTAAATCTGTATATCTCCTTCTGTCTTCTTGTAAATCTGTTTCTCTCTGTTTGTCTTTGTCTGTCTCCTTTTAAGTCTCTCTGTCTCTTTCTGTCTCCTTTTGTCTCTGTTTGTTTCTTCTTAAATGCGTAAGTCCCTGCTTGCCTCTCTCTGTCTCCTTTTAAATATGTTTGTCTCTGTCTGTCTCCTTTTAAATATGTTTGTCTCTGTTTGTCTTTGTTTGTCTCTGTTTGTCTTTTAAAAGAAAAGAAGCGAAGTGCTTCGGTCTTCATCTCGGCAGCAAATGCTGCAGCAGCAACTGCTCGCAATAACAGCAGAAGCAGCAGAGTTAGAGGGACAGCTGAAAGCACAGATGAAGAGGCAAGCTAAAGAATTTTATTGTCTCCTTTTGTCTCCTTTGCTGTCTCCTTCTGTCTCCTTTACTGTCTCCCCTGCTGTCTCTGTCTCTGTCTCTCTGTCTCTCTGTCTCTCTGTCTCTCTGTCTCTCTGTCTCTCTGTCTCTGTCTCTGTCGCTGTCTCTGTCTCTCTCTCTCTCTCTCTCTCTCTCTCTCTCTCTCTCTCTCTCTCTCTCTCTCTCGCTGTCGCTTACCTCTCTCTCTCTCTCTCTCTCTCTCTCTCTCTCTCTCTCTCTCTCTCTCTCTCTCTCTCTCTGTCTCTCTCTCTCTCTCTCTCTCTCTCTGTCTATCTCTCTCTGTCTCTCTCTCTCTCTCTCTCTCTCTCTCTCTCTCTCTCTCTCTCTCTCTCTCTCTCTGTCTGTCTGTCTCCTTTTGTTGCTGCTGTCTCCTTTGTCTCTTTCTGTCTCCTTTTATATCTTTCTCTGCTGTCTCTTGATGTCTCTTTCTTCTTTCTTTTTCTGCTGCTTTGTTGCTGCTCTCTTGTCTTTTTCTGTCTCCAGCTGTCTCCTCCTCTCTTCTTGCTTTGTCTGTGCATCTCTCCTTCTGTCTGCTTCTCTCTCTAAGCTGTCTATATATATATATATATACATTTATTTATATATTTATATATATAACTCTTTCTTTCTCCTGCTATCGCTTTTCGTCTTTGTCTGTCTCCTTCTCTGTCTCCTTCTCTGTCTCCTTCTCTGTCTCTTTCTGTCTGTCTCCTTTCTCTCTGTCTGTCTCTTCATGTCTTCTCTTTCTGTCTCTCTTTGTCTCTTTCTGTCTCTTTCTGTCTCCTTTGCCTCCTTCGGGTTTGTCTCTGTCTCCTTTTATGTCTGCTGCTGTCTCCTTCTCTTATTTTTATTTTTCTGTCTCCTTCGCTGCTCTTCTCTTTTTTTATATTTGTTTTTTTATGTCCCTGCTGTCTCTTTCTCTGTCTCCTTTTTTGTATTGTCTGTCTTCGTCTTCTCCTTTTGTTTCCTTTCTGCTGCTTTTCTGTGTGCTACTTGTAAACTATCTCCTGCTGCTGCTGTTGTTGTTGTTGTTGTTGTTGCTGCTGCTGCTGCTTTTGTTGTCGTTGCTGCTGCTGCTGCTGTTGTTGTTGCTGCTGCTCTTGCTGCTGTTGCTGTTGCTGCTACTGCCGTTGCTGCTGCTGCTACTGCTGTTGTTGTTGTTGCTGCTGTTGCTGCTGCTGCTGTTGCTGCTGCTTCTACTACTGCTGCTGTTGCTGCTGCTACTGCTGCTGTTGCTGCTGCTGTTGTTGCTACTGCTGCTGTTGCTACTGCTGCTGCTGCTGGCGTATAGGGCGGAAGAAGTGGATGGGGTGTTGATAAAGGGAGCGAAGGAGACAATCGAAATGCTGAAGGTAAACAAAAAAGAATTAGTTTTCTCTTCTTTTATCTGTCTCCTTGTCTCTGTCTCCTTTGCTCTGTCTCCTTTATTCTTCTGTCTCCTTCTGTCTGTCTCCTTCTGTCTGTCTCCTTTTATCTGTCTCCTTTGCTCTCTCTCGTTTCTTCTTTTGTCTGTCTCCTTTATTCTTTTGTCTGTCTCCTCTCTTCTTTTGTCTGTCTCCCTTTGTCTGTCTCCTTTTGTCTGTCTCCTTTTGTCTGTCTCCTTTTGTCTGTCTCCTTTCTCTTTTTTTGTCTCCTTTTCATTTTTGTCTCCTTTCACCTTTCTTCTTTTCCGTCTCCTTTATTCTTTATGCTGTCTCCTTTATTGTTTTGTCTGTCTCCTTTATTGTTTTTTTTGTATATCTTTTCTTGTGTTTTCTCTGTCTCCTTTTGCGTTGTTGTTTGTTTTTAAATAATATCTTTAAATATAATCTGTCTCCTTTTATTTGTCTCTTCTTTTATTTCTTTTACTTAGCAGAAAGAAGAGAGAAAATGTATGAGATGTCTCCTTTTGATGAGTATCTGCTGTCTCTTCTGTCTCTGTTTGTCTTTGTTTATTTTTGTTATTTATTTTTTTTGTCTGTCTCCTTAATAAATTAATTTCTCGCGTTTATACTTTTTTCTCTCTTCTGTCTGTCTCCTCTTCTTCTCCTTTTTGTCTCCTTCAGAAAGACGAAAAAAGATTAACAATAGCTATCGGTTAGCCACCCCAAAACCCTTCACAAGCGATGCCTCTCCCTAGGGTTTAGGGTTTAGGGTTTAGGGTTTAGGGTTTAGGGTTTAGGGTTTAGGGTTTAGGGTTGCATGCAGAGAGGGGAAGGCATGATGCTGCGAGGTTGAAGCAGCGCGAGAAAGTGCTGACGAAGAAAGTTGGGGTTCGATCTTAGCTAACCCTAAACCCTAAACCCTAAACCCTAAACCCTAAACCCTGAACCCTGAACTATAGACCCAGAGCCCATTGGCGTGCGGGTCTCTCCAGTCCTTTCTCCCCGCTAGCTATTTAGATAGCTAACTAGATAGCTAGCTAAATAGCTAGCTAGCTAGCAGTGCAGTTACGTAGCTAGCCATTTAGCTTGCTGCCCCCAAGCTACTCAGCCCGTTAGCTAGCTAGCTACCTATCCAGCTCTGTAGCTAGCTAGCTGGCTACTTAGCTAGCTCCGTAGCTAGCTAGCTAGCTAGCCAGCTAGCTGTGTGTTGGCATAGGACTTGGCGGAGAAGCAAGAAGGGCTGCAGCAGGAGCTCAGCGAAGTCGAGCTGCTTCCTCAAAGACAAACTGAACAAAGAGAGTTAGCAGAACATATGCTCAATGCACTGCAGCAGCAAACCGCATGCACGCTGCAGCAGATGCAGGAGCAGCAGCAACAGCTTGATCAATTAGACACCCAAATACAGGTACAACACACCCTAAACCCTAAACCCTAAACCCTAAACCTCTACAAACCCCCCAGCTCATCTAAAGGCTCGCCACTACAGACAGCCTCGTCGCTGCTGCTGTTGCTGTTGATGCTGCTGCTGCTGCTGCTGCTGCTGCAACCAGGCACTGACACAGCAGGTGCAGCAGCAGCAGCAGAAGCTGCAAGAGCAGCGCAGGGTTTCTGAAGAGCTCATGCCGCAGCAACGAGACATGCGCAACCGACTTGATCTTGCGCAGGCAAGTCCTAAACCCTAAACCCTAAACCCTAAACCCTAAACCCTCGGGTTCGCTCGTGCATGAGATCCCTGATGGGCGAGCCCGCAAGTCGTTCATCAGGCTGAGCAGGCAGTTGGCTGTCTGGATAGCTAGCTAGCTGGCTAGCGAGCTAGCTAGCTATCCAGGCAGACCGACAGGCACGCAGGTAGCTAGCTAGCTGTCTAGCTAGCTAGCTGTCTGGCTAGCTGTCTAGCTAGCTAGCTATCTCCCTAGACAGAGAGATGTATAGCTACATAGATAGATAGTTAGACAGACAGGCAGATAGTTGTCTCAGGCAATGCTGAAGGCTCCTGCATTTATAAGAAAAGATTTATATTGGTGTGGCTGTGGGGTTGCTGCTGCACTGGGGTGTACGTACACCTCAGCTAGAATTCGCAGAGGGTAACGATCAACGCAGTGCCATGCAAAAAGAAATAAAAACAGCAACAAAAATAATGCATGCAGAAAAAGAAGAACTCCTCCACTTCAAAACTGCATTCGAAAAGGCAAAAATGTAAGGGTTTAGGGTTTAGGGTTTAGGGTTTAGGGTTTAGGGTTTAGGGGTTTAAGGGAAGAAAACCTTATATATGCCGCCGAGTTAGTGAGCGAATCAAAGAAAGCTGCTAACGGTAGAACGCTGACTTCAGCAGGTGAAAATAAGGGTTTGGGGTTTAGGGATTTAGGGGTTTAGGGTTTAGGGTTTAGGGTTTAGGGTTTAGGGTTTAGGGTTTGGCGGGTGTAGGGAGTACAAGAAGGGTACAATGCAGCGCGACACAGCAGCAGCACTTCTTCCTCCGTTTGTTGCTAGAAAGGTGAGGCGTATGCAAACCCTAAAAACATAAGGTGCCTATACACCCCAAAACCCTAAACCCTAAACCCCAAAACGATCAGGTGTACCTACACCCGAGTAAGATATTAAAACCCTCAGCAGAAACCCTAAATGCCTTTCTCTACACCTTCACATCAAAACCCTAAACCCTCAAAACCCTGCCGCATGGCCTTGAGGGTTTTTTAAAGCTAAAGCCCTGGTATCAGCGGTTTAGGGTTTAGGGTTTAGGGTTTAGGGTTTAGGGTTTGGGTTTCAGGGGGAAATCGCGTTGGAGCGGAAGGCGCTGATAAAGGAAGCAGAGGGCCGTGCAAAGCAGGTGAGTATTTTTAGTGGTTTAGGGTTTAGGGTTTAGGGTTTAAAGTTTAGCTGGGGTGTCTGCTGCCTCCTTGAATGCTTCATTTATTTATATTTGTTTGTTGCTTTTGCTGTCTCTGTCTCTCTTCTTTTTTATATTTTTGTTTCTGTGGTTTCTTCGAGCGCTGCTGTCTCCTTCCTTCTGTCTCTTTAGGCAGGGCTCCTGCCTTCCTTAAACCCTTTAGGGTTTAGGGTTTAGGGTTTAGGGTTTAGGGTTTAGGGTTTAGGGTTTATGGTTTGGATTCTTCTGCAGGCGGGAATGCTACGTGCTGAGAACGAAACCCTCTATGGATACATAAAAGGCGACGTCTGCAAACCCTAAACCCTAAACCCTAAACCCTAAACCCTTGAGCCATCTCCCTTAATAACATCTGAGCCGAAGGCATCATCGGCGTCTGTGCTGCTGCTTTGCTGCTATTTTGCTGCTGTTTTGCTGCTGCTTTGCTGCTGCTTTGCTGCTGCTTTGCTGCTGCTTTGCTGCTGCTTTGCTGCTACTTTGCTGCTGTCTTCAGGAAGCAGCGGTAAAGGAGAAGACAGAGGAGCTCCTTTCCCTGGCACGGCAAACCCTAAACCCTAAACCCTAACCCTAAACCCTAAAGCCTAAAGCCTAGACCTTAAACCCTAAAGCCTAAACCCTAGCCCTGAACCCTAAACCCTAAACACTAAACCCTAATCCTAAACCCTAATCCTAAACCCTAAACCCTAAACCCTAATCCTAAACCCCAAACCCTAAACCCTAAACCCTACCCTCCCGAAGGCCCAAACCCTAATGCGAATGCGTCAGTGCATACATCGCCAGATAAGATGTAAAGGCTGTTGTCTTTCTCTACAATTGTATTTAGAGTGGTTTAGGGTTTAGGGTTTAGGGTTTGTGCTTAGGATAGAAGACGAGAAGAGATTGAAGCAGAGACAGCTCAGCTGCTGCAGCGGATAAGCGGCTGGCGTTCGCTGCAGCACTCGATGGAGACACAAAAGCAGCAAGCTGCACTCAGTGTTGCTGCAAGCTACCGCATGCATAAACAAATAAAAGAGCAGCTACGCCTCAAAGTATTAGCTGTTCATCATGCTGATCCTGCTGCTGATCCTCCTGATGCTGTTGCTGCTGATGCTGCTGCTGTGCTGCTTTTGCTGCTGCTGCTGCTGCTGCTGCTGCTGTTTCTGCTGCTGTTGCTGCTAATGTTGCTGCTAATGTTGCTGCTAATGCTGCTGCTAATGCTGCTGCTGATTTTTCTGCTAATGCTGCTGCTGATGCCGCTGTTGATGCCGCTGTTGATGCTTTTGCTGTTGCTGCTGCTGCTGCTGCTGCTGCTGTTGTGCTTCCTCCAACTCCTGTTCACCACGTGCTGGCTTTGAAGACGCCTCACTTGTATACCTGGCTGTACAGCTAGCTAGCTAGCTAGCTAGCTAGCTATAGTTGGCTAGCTAGGCAGCTCCCCTCGACGTCAAGCTCGTTACTCAAGTCTCCTGAGTAGCTAGCTGGCTACCTACCTACCTAGCTAGCTAGCTATCTCGTTCGTTTGTATGTTTGTTGATCTATGCGCATATATATATTATATATATTATATATATTATATATATATTATATTATATATATATATA